CCGTGAGTGGTGGGGGCTTATTTGGTTACGTGACTGGCTTTGAGGGTTCCTGAGTTTTCAGTGTTCCTGAAGCTGTGGGAGGGATCAGAGTGCGTCTGCTTCTCAGGAAAACAAGAGAAGATAGATCCCTGGGACTGGAATGTTGCATCTTTCCTCCAGCCCCCAAATTTCAGCTCAGGTTTGTCTGATTGTGTTTCTTCTAGCAGCTGAAACTGGGAAGGAGTTTGATTCCTCACTATCCTGTACATTGTCTGGCTTTACAATGCCAAGGATACACATGGGCTGGGGACAGACACTCAGCTTAGGTCTGCAACTGGGTTGTCTTGAGATTTTTCTGAGACTATTTCCCCATATCTGTGAATGTCAGCAATTCTACCAGCCGCACACCTGCTTTATCAGCAGAGGAAAGTGAGCTAGGAAAGAAGGACTAAGAAATACTTCGGCCAGATGGGCAAATTTCAGGGCAGACAATTCACCCCACTCACCCTACTACATACATCCTCCCTGCCACCCCAATCTCCCTTTCTCTCTCCCTTAATTTATGAATATAGTGAAGCCAGATCCTTCCCATAACTATCTATCCGTGAGAAATATAACAAAAATGTTTTTTTCCCATAAATTTGGAGCAAACACCAAGAAAAGTAACTCAGTAAAACAAAATACAGTAGGTCTCTTGTTTTGCTGATAGAAGTTAGTTAATCAGAACAAACAATTCCATAAAATTGAAACAACTGCTAAAAGTAACTAGGTAAAATAGGATAAAGCTGGTCTTATCTTGTTTTGCTGATAGAAGTTAGTAACTAGGACAAAGGTTGAGCTTTGCTTAGAGTACCCATGCTTAATAGGCTTATAAATATTAGCTTCTCCACCTCCAGAAGGGGCTAAGACACCATTTTCTGAACACGGGATGTGTGAAGAAGGAGGAATGGTGTGTCAAGGAGTAGATGTGCAATAGGCGTACCAGAAAGTTGTACTCAGCCAATGAGGAAACAGGAGGGACTTTGTGGCCAGGATTAGAGATAAATAGTGAACTCCTGCTTTGGTACAGTGTGTCCTAGTCCATAGGACATTGCGGTTGCCACTGCATAATAAACTGGGCTTTTAACTTCATCCCTCCTGAATCTGAATGAGTTATTTCTCACATCTGTTTGGCTTCCACTTCCCTAGGGTTCTTCTGGCTGCTAACTCCTTTGGCGACTTCTCACTGAAGCTATCATCTTCTCTCATCTCTTTCCAGGCTTGCAGCCACACTGGCTCATACAGGACACCAGCAACCAAAATATTTCAGCTCCTTGTCCCCTCTACCCTTTCCCCTCTCTCTTCCAGGTCTGTTCTCCTCTCATAAGGCTAGTCCTATCCATCTGCTGTCCTGGGCAGGGGTTGGCTACATAGCTGTTCTCATGGTGGTCAGTCTCACAGAGACACTGGAGGCAAAGCCCTGACTCTTCAGATGCAGAGTCAGAAGAAATTTATCAAATTAATGTTAGGACACAGGTGAAGGAAGGGTCTGAGGCAGGAGCTGGATATCCAGCTTTCAGCCCTTGGTTTCAGGAATGAGGGGAGGGAGGTGCAGAAGACCTTTAGGAGCAACTGGAGCCCGCCCCGAATGAATCTTCAGTGTTCAGCTGGTGTGAAGTGGTAGTGGAAGGTCTGAGACATACTTCAGAGGCTGATTGGCTTGCACCTGACCTTGTGCTTGAGCTGTCTAGGCTTCTTGCCTTTCTGGCACCCACCCCATTGGTCAGTGAAACTCTCCACTTCCCCACTTTTAAGTTCCCTCTCTAGCTCCATCCTTTCCAGTCCCAGGTCCAGACCTGGCCTATCTGCAACTTCCCACTTCTACTAGGTGATCCCAGGCCTCTCTCCTTCCAACTCTGCTCCCTCAGTTTGATGGGCTGATGTCCAGTGAAAGAGGAAACTAGAGGAGACTCTAGATCTCCTACTGATGGAATCCTAATAAAGCTACCCTCACCCCCCAAATTCTAACTTCCTTATGGGACTCATTGAACAGCAGACATGTCCTGACTTAACCACACCACCCCAGACTCAATCATAGGTCTCACTGAACAGCAGGCCCATTGTCCCTACCTAATCACTGCCCTCCCTACTCAATATCCTAACTTCCTCATTGTATGCTTCACTGCCCCACTAGAACAGCCGGTGTCCATGTGATGGAATGCTAGCCACTTCTCTAGCTAGCCATTGTCCCCAGACCCATTTCTCATATTTCCCACAGAAACAGCAGGTGTGTCCATGTACTCAACCACAACCACAACCACCTCCATCTAATCTGACAGGACCATGATAACTAGGCAATCAGAAAGCAGCACAAGCAGGATACCTGAGCAGGATGTGGACCCCAGAACAATAGAAGAGACTTTCCCTGAGTAGGCACCTGTTCATTAATAGCAAAAGGTGTCCTTTAGGTGAACTTATGACATAGAGAGGTTTATTATAATATCATTATCATATATTAATGCCTCTCTTTGGGCTTTTCCATATGCATATGTGCACATAATCATATGTGCAGTTCCACTGAGGCCAGGACCCTCCCCTATTACCTAATCTCCTGCCATACCCCTCCTACCTTTTTAATATTCATAATTTCTGTAGTATAATCAGCATCATTACAATATAAAATTGCCTGTCTTGTCTTACTGAAGCTTGGAACACAGCCAACTTCATGAGAGGCATCACTCTCAATAAATGCCTTCACTTGGATTGGAGGTGGTCTGAGTCTGAATTCTTTGAGACAACCCCCATAATATACCATGAAACTGCAACACTATAATTCTCAAAGACAAAGAATCCACCACAAACATACACACTATTGTCCTATAAGTGACTTTGGGTCTCCTCTTTCCTTGCCTTCCCTGCTTCTGGACTTTGGCAGAGGCTCCAACCCTATGTGCAATGAAGACACATGGCAGGTATAGAAAAGGAGGTTAGGTCCTGCTTCCATTCTTCCCCAGATCTTGACTTGCTCCTTATTGGAGAGTAGGTTCAGGGATCTTTTCAGGAGCTGGAGTTCTATGTGTCATCTGAAAAGGGTATGTGTGTATGTATGTGTGTGGACTGCTCTGTAAAAGCCCTGTATATGTTTTTTTTGGTGGCATGGGGGAGGCTGAGTGGGTCTGTATGTGATAAAACCTTTGCCTCGAAGTGGGGCTCCCCAATCTGAGCAGAGCCCAGGTGGAAGAGCTTGCAAAGATTCTATGTAGATGACTAATGTGGAAATGTGTTTAATATGATTGTACATGTATAACCTATATCACATTACTTGCTATCTTGGGGAGGGGAGAGGGGAGGAAGGGAGGGAGAGAAATATTTTGGAACTCAAAATCTTATAAAAATGAATGTTGAAAAAATAAAAAAAAAACAAAAAAAGACTATGTAGAGCTCTCTTTTTTTCTGGCTGTAATCACAGTAAGTGTAGAAGAAAAGAAGAAGCTACCATCTGTTCCAGAATCTCTTCTGGAAAAGTGAAAGGCCTTTGAAATACTGAAGGCAAGATGCCAAAAGAAGAAGATAGCTATATAACTGTAAAAAAAAGCTCCATAAGATATGAAGAAAAGAAATCTATGAAAAAGCTAAATCCTGCCATAAGGAGTACAGGCAGATGTACTGAAACAAAATCTGTCTGGCTAGAATGGCACACAAACTTGTCAACTACTAGTACCTGATGAACCCAAGTTAGTTTTAGGTATTAATGATATTAGCTCAAAGATCCCTAAAGTATTGCAGCTTCTTCCTCTTCATTCAATCTTCAGTGGCACTTTTGTTAAGCTTAATTCCACTTCAATGAATGTGCCGAGGACTGTGGAACCATGCAATGGCATGGGGTTACCCAAAGGGGAAATCTGTGAATGACTCCATTGATAAACAAGAAACAGAGAATTGTCCTGATAATGCCCTTATTGTAAAATCTCTTGCAAAATATGGGATTATTTACACGGAGGACTTGATCCATGTTGTCTACACTGTTGCCAAGCCTTCAAAGTTGTCAAAACTTTTTGTGCCCTTCAAATTATCTTTTCCAGGGCAGCTAGGTGGCGCAGTGTATAGAGCACCAGCCCTGGATTCAGGAGAACCTAAATTCTAATGCAGACTCAGACAGGTAACACTTAGTAGCTGTGTGACCCTGGGCAAGTCACTTAACTCTATTGCCTAGCCAAAAAAAAATCTTTTCCAAGGGGTGGAATGAAGGAAAAAGACTATACATTTTTGGGAAGGCGGAGATGCTGGAAACAGATCAGTAGGCTTTTTAGAAGAATGAACTAATGGTCTCTACCATGATTATTTTTCTAATGGTCTGTTAAAAAAAAATAAAAAACCTACATAGAATGCCTCATTCCAGCTCTGGAAGAACTTAAAGAATGTCTCTGAACTGCCACCTCTTCCTGGCCTAGGAGCTGCTAAATTCAAAGTCCAGTCCTCCTTTCCCCACCCATATCCCTCCTTTGAGGAAGATGATATCTTCCAGCCCACCCCCACGGTGATGGCGGGGGAGAGGGGGGAAGGAGGGAGGGGACAAATAAAAAGTATTGTCTTCCTTATGCTTGTGTGGTGGGATGGGAATTGGGGAAAACAGATGCCCAAGAAGTCCCTGATGAGAGCAGGGCAGGAAAATACAAGATCTCTCCTACCCTTGGTAAGGACTCTGATGTCCAGCTCCCAAGCTCTTCTAAATACCTCCCATCAGGGATCCTGGACCTTGGTCCCCCCAGTGCCCTACCTCCTACAACTGACTGCTTTCTATTTTGCCCCAAGATTAACCAGAAAAGTAAGTCAGAGGTCAAAAACTAGTCTGAAGTGTAAGCCAAAGGAAGTTTGGGAATATTTCAGAGCCTCAGAACGCTCCAGACCTTTCCTCTGTTGACAGGTGCCACTGAACCTGTTCCCATCCCTTTCTACTTTCACTGTCCCTTAAGATTTCATTCCTCAGCTTCCCTCTGATCACTTTTTTTCCCTAACAGGTCTAACTTTCGCTGTCTCCCACCATGAAGACCTTGAAGAAGCAGAGAATAGAAAAAGTCAGCGTTTATCAATTTTTACTCAACTACCTCTTCATGGGTGAGGCTGGCCTCATGGGTCGTTGAAGAGATAGGAGATTTGAGGTGGGGAGGGTATGAGTAGGGAGTGTGGGGGAGAGGGGCTCCTGGACACTTGGGTCTTAAAAGTCTAATCTTTGTCTCCCAACTTCCACCCCTTCTTCTCTCTTTACAAGCCTCTTCTTCTCCCTTCTCCTCTTCTTTCTCCTCTTTACGTCGTTCTGGTTTCTCTCCGTTCTTTACGTGGTGTGGCTTTATCTAGATTGGGATACACCAGAGAGAGGTAAGGAAGGACTTAAAGGGAGGGAAAATGAGGGAGAGTTGAGTGGGGGAAGGGCGCCTCTCAGACTTCAGCTCTCCGCCTCCCCCCTCTCCTCCTTGCAGGCGGTCGGCGCTTGGAATGGATGAGGAAGTGTAAGGTTTGAGAACATTTTAGAGATTACTTTCCCATCAAGGTGAGAGAGGGGTATTGGGCGTACCTGTCCCCCATTTCCTAATACTATCCCTCACTGTTTAATCACCCTATCCTCCTGATCATTCGTTCTTCCTTTCTCTCTTAATTTGCTAATATATAAAATTTGTGTTTGAGGTACAGTAATACAAGGGAGGTGGTGGTGGGGTGGTGGTATGTGTGTAAAGGTTGGGATGGTAAAAGAAGGTTTTCCCATTCCAAAAGAGGCTGTTCTTTTATTGACTCCCAGTAGAGATTAAATTCTTAAATTCTCCTGCTAGCTCTTGGGAGGGGCGGGGGCGGGACGCTAGGGGTTAGGTGGGAGGAAGGGCTCTCTAATTTTAGGCTTTTAACCAGAGAAGTTTGGGGCGGGGTTCGGTGTTGGTGCTTCAGCCCATGTTGCTCCGTTCTCTATCCCCACACTCACGCCTTCCCCTCAAAGCTGGTGAAGACAGCAGAACTGCCCCCAGACAGAAACTATGTGCTGGGCTCACACCCTCATGGGATCATATGCGCTGGAGCTTTTTGTAATTTTGGCACCGAGAGCACTGGCTTTTCCCGTCAATTCCCGGGTCTTCGGCCTTTGCTGTGTGGACTGGCGTGCCTCTTTCGAGTCCCGGCATACCGGGACTACCTCATGAGCTTTGGTGAGTGTATATGCATGCACGCGTGTGCGTGTGTGTGTTTGTAATTGTCGTGGGGAGCAGACGGCTTTCGAGTTCGGTGTACCGGGATTACATCATGACCTGCGATAAGTGTATATGCATGCATGAGTGAGTGTGGGGGGGGGGTGAGGGAAGGAAAAGGACCTCACCATCTCACCAAGGGCAAGGGGGAATATTGGCAGAGAAGACTCTTGGGTCCTGGAGTCAGTCTGTCCCCAGGGATATGCTCAGTGAGCCGTCATAGCCTGGACTTCTTGCTGTCGCGGCCCCAGCTTGGCCAGGCTGTGGTCATCGTGGTCGGGGGTGCTGAAGAGGCATTGTACTCGGTCCCTGGAGAGCATTGCCTCAAACTACTGAATCGGAAGGGGTTCGTGCATTTGGCCCTGAGGCATGGGTAAGTTTGCTGATATCAAGGCAAAAGAATGGCCCTGGAGGTTGCCTATAAGAAGGGGGTTGGGGGTGAACCAGCGTTAAAAACAAAGGCATTGAACTGGTGGTGAGTTTTACGAAACACGAAGTTGGGGTTCACACACCCTAGTGGTAAGTTTGAGACTTAGTCCCTTGTTGGTCAATGAAAATGCCATCTTCTAGCGTAGTGCTATAGAAGGACACTTGGACTTGGGAAACATAAAACCTGGTCTCAATTTAGCTGTGTAACCAAATGCAGGCCTCTCTGGGTCTCATGTTCCTCCTTAAAACTTAAGAGATTACCCTAAGGTGCCTTCTACCTCTTGCTATGCTATATATGGTTCTAAGTTTCACTAAATGAGATAATGAAAAGTAAGTCTTAAATTCTAATAAAAATACAATAACTACTTATTAAGCACCTACTTATGTAGAGAGGATATTTAGTTGTCAGTGGAAATACAAAGTTTAAAACAAACATGGGCCCTTCGCTTTTTGAATTTACGGTTTAGTAGGTAAGATAATACCTAAAAAGATATAGCTATAATGCATATTGCTTGACAAAATGCATTTAAATTACAAAAAATGCTTTGAGAAGGAAGAGAGTACTGATGAGGATGGGATCTAGACCCCGAAAAGGAAAAACCCTGGACTTTTCCCACGTGGCCAGTTCTCTGGCATTGGCCTGAGGCTATTTGTGGCTACACCCAATCTCCCAATTCTCTGTTACACTTAATCTAGCCTAGCCCTCCCTATGGCCCCAGGCCATTTCCCCATGCTTAATCTTATCTAGGCTCCATTCTCCCTCGCCCAAGTGGTCCAGGTCCCTGGAGTTCTATTACCTCATAGACTACTTGGCCACTCCTAGATTCCTCCCACAGTCTTCTTTCGGGCAGGACCCTTATGTTGTGATTTTGAGGTCCCTGCACCTCCAAACCTAGATTCCTCCCACAGTCTTCTTTCGGGCAGGACCCTTATGTTGTGATTTTGAGGTCCCTGCACCTCCAAACCTCAACAGTACCAATAAGGGAGATCAGGGAAGCCTTCCTTAAGGAGTTTAATATTTTCATTGGCCTTTAAAAGATAGATAAGAATTCAAGGAAGGAGATTTCTGGCATCATGGAGAAAATATGAGTATACAGTCAGCGTTTGGGGAAGATAGAGTCCAGTTTGGCTGGGGTGTAGAGGGAAGTAATATGATAAAAAGCTGGAAAGGCGTGTGATGACAGTCTAAATGTCCAGTATTATTTTATTTGAGATAATATGACATAGGGGAACAGAATGTTAAACTTGGAGTCAGGAAAGTGAGGGAACAATTTAGAAGGTAACAAGCAGTAGACTAGACACTGTATTAAAATGCTTTACAAATATTACCTCCTTTGATCTTCACAACAGCCCTGGAAAGTAGGTGTTATTATTATTCCATTTTACAGTTTAACAGATTTGAAGTGACTTGCCCAGTATTACACAGTAAGTGTCTAAGCCCACATTTGAACTCAGTCTGGAGTCAGGTCTTCCTCCAGGCCCTGTCCATTGTGCCACTAGCTGCTTCTAATGGGTTCAGATCTCTATTCTGATGATGCCTTGCCAGGTGTATGGCCCTGGGACAAGTTAGAGGGTTTTAGATTTTGAGCTGGAAGAGGTCTTAGAGGTCATTGAAACCAACCCCCTTATTTTACAAGAAGAGGAGCTAAAGCCTAGAGAGATTAAATTAGTTGCTCTTGGTCACATAGCTAATAAATGTCTGAGTTGGAATTTGATTTGACCTAAGGTCTTCCTGAGTTTTTGCTCTACTTGCGGGAGCCTGAGATAACTCTGACCTAGGGGTATTAAGTGGGAAATCCTAGGTTGCAGTGGTAGAGTTCATATCCACATCCCATCATTAGTAACCTCTGAAGTCTGTACCTTTGGAGCAGCTACCAGCTGGAGTAGGAGTGTGGTGCTACAGCTGAAAGCAGCACACTGAGCTAGCTGGCCGTAGAGCCACTAACAGGATCCCAGTGTTCATCTCATCTTCACAGTCTTTGTGTTTGTGTTTGTTTTGGTCTTTCTCCTCTCTCCAGCTTCCAGGGTAATGGTGATGGGGGAGCCGGGGTGGGGTGAGGAATTAGGGCACCTCTGTCCTGACTTTGCCTGCCTCTTCTTTCCCTCCCTTAACCTGCCCTTAGGGCAACTAGGTGGCCCAATGGATAAAGTGTAGAGCCTTGGGATCAGGAAGACCTGAGTTCAAATCCTGTCTCTGACACTTAACTAGTTGTGTGACCCTAGGCAAGTCACTTAACCCTGTTTGCCTTAGTTTCCTCATCTATAAATGAGGAGAGGGCAAACCACTTTAGTATCTTTGCCCAAAAAACCTTAGATGGGGCTATGAAGAATCAGACATAACTGAAATGATTGAACAATAACAGATCTCTGTTCTACAGAGCCTCCCTGGTTCCTGTGTATTCCTTTGGGGAGAATGACATCTTCATGCAAGCATCATTTATGATAGGGTCCTGGCAGAGGGCTTTGCAGGAAGCCTTCAAGAGATTTTACCAGCTTTCCTCCCTGCATATTCTGGGGCTCTGGTCTCTTCTTCCCCTGGGGGCTGTTACCCTTCCCTGTGCCTATTACCACTGTAGGTGAGTTGCTTTTCCTCTAAAGTTGTTTGCCCTGGGTATGACGATCACCTCTTCTTGGCTGCCTTTTAACCCACAAACCCTTTTTCCCCTTTAGTGGGTCGCCCTATCCCAGTCCCCCATCATCCTAATCCAAGCCAAGAAGAGGTTGACTGGTACCACAGGCTCTACATGGAGGCCATAGAACAGTTTGAGGAACACAAAGAAAGCTGTGGAGTCTCTCCTTCTACCCATCTCACTTTTGTCTGAAGCTCTACCCTTGTGTCACCACCACCCACTACCTCAGCTCTATACATTTCCCTATCCTAGCCCTAGCCCTTTGCAGTACCAACAGGTGTGACCCTCAGAAGTGGATTGAGACCTGCCCCTGCTTAGAAAACATGCCTTCTCCCTCTAATAAATAGTCTTCCCTCCTCAGCACTCTTCCCTCACTCTGGTCACATGGAGGAATAAATCAAGTATAAAATGAGCACCTACTATGTTACTACTTTAGCTGTGATTGGCCTAGATAGAACATAGGAATGCCATCTACCCAGGAGCTAAGAAGCAATTAGAAAGCTCTATATAAAATGGTGTGAAATTGAGTGCTAGTCTGTGGGGGATCAGTAAAGATTAGAGCCCTCGGGAAAGCCATCTTGTGAGATGTGGGACCTGATCTGGATTTTGACAGCATTAGATAGGTAGAATCTGGCTATTCTGAGACCTTCCAAGATTTAGGTGGAGCTGGGGTAGAGAGAGGAGGGGGAAAATATAAATCTTTATTGTCTGGGAAGTAAACTTTGTTAGCTATGGGGGCAGCCTGACAAAGGAAAGCTTTGTTGCCCCCTGGGTAATAGCAAGAAATAAAGTTGGTTGTGTAGGGTGGGGTCAGATTACTTACTTGGATACTTGGCCAGAGGAAAAGGGAAAGGACTGGCTATGCTGAATTTGCCTCTCCCCTTGGATGAGGTATTAGAAATTCCTTGGAAAGGTAGAGGGAGCAGACAGTATTTGTTCCTAGGATGGGAGAATGATAAAATTAGAAAGGACCTTAGGAAAAAAAATCCAGTCTAGTTTTTTCATTTTACAGATGGAAACTTCATTTAGCCTGACATTCAAGGCTACATCGTCTGACAGTAACCTATTTTATGTCCTACCTTATCTATCAGCCTTATCTCCTTTGTCCTATACATAATTGTACATTTCAGCCAAACTAAATTGTGAATTCAATTAAAGGTTTATTCAGCTGAATTTATTACATACCTACTCTATGGTTCTTTGTCAAGGTTCCTTCCCAAGCACCATTGGTTCTGCCTCTGTCCCTATGTTACTATTTTCCAACAAAACACTTATAATGTTCTCCAAGTAGCCATATCCCTTTGGTTCCACTTCTACCAAGGTTTTGATGATTGCTCCAACTGTCATTGATTTCCCTTCTGAGTTCCTACAGCACCTATAATACCAAGTTGAATTTCTGTGAAAGTTTGGTAAAACATGGTCCTGGCCTTCTTGGAGCTCAACATGTTTCCACACACACACTTTGATATGCATTCTTCTACCTCTTTGCCTATGTTTATATCACTCTCCCTTCTTCAGTTTCCTCCCTCCTCTACCCATCCCTATCTCTGCCTGCTGAGGAGCCTTTTTTTCTTTTTAAAAAATTCTGAATGTAAACACCAAAAAAGAGAATTTCCATATATTCATCAGAACGTGAAAAAGAGGATAATGAACTTCCACTTCATGCTGCTTGTTTGAAAAAACCTAAATAATAAGTTTTTATGTTACTTTAAAAACTAATCTGCTTTTCTATGCTTTCTTGTCAATGTTTCCTTTTGTTGTCTTCTGTGCATTTTGAAAAATGTTTCAATGGGTTGTTTTTTTTTTAGTCAGGTTAACAAATATTTATTAAGCACCTACTGTATGTCCTTGCCAAGGTGAACCCTTCTACATCCAAAAATGATCCTATTTCATCTCATCTTCTCCAGCTGATTGTCCCCGCTATCATCCCTACTCTCACTTCTCTTTAATCTCTCCCTGTCTATTTGCTGCTTCTCTACTGCCTATAAATATGCCCTTATCTCTTCCATCCTCAAAAAGCCTTCACTTGATCCTTCCATTCCTGTTTTAATATCCCATATCTCTCTTGTCTTTAGTGGCTAAACTCTTTGTGAAGGTGGTCTACCATAAATGCCTTCAAAGTTTGCACATAATTTAAATTTTTTTAAACATATTTGATATTTTATTCCCCCCATTACGTGTAAAAACAATTTTAACATTTGTTTTCTAAAATTTTGAGTTTCAAATTCTCTCTTTCCCTTCCTCACCTCCTCCCTCCCTGAGACAGCAAGCAATTAGATATAGATTTGTAAGGTCTGGAATTCCCCTGGCTGGGGATCCCTGTACTTCCCTCATAATCGTGGGGTGGTTTTTTTATATCAAAGGAGGAGGCCAAGTATCTCCAGATTCATTATAGGTAGTAGTTTAATCAGTCATTATGAGTATTTACAAACAGGGGCAATCTTTGGTCTGGGGCCACAGCCAGACGGTTTAGTAGAGCCCCACAAAGAACTCCCACAATCCTTGTGGTAATTATAGAAAACAGACAGGCAGGAGGAACTAGAGAGTGCATCACTACTAATTGGTGGATATTTTTGGTTTTCTGTTTAGTAATGAGCTTGGGCGTTAAGCCAATGTTATGCCAAACATAAGTTTGTGTATTGATTATGTCCTGGTCACATATAGGTCAAAATATTCTCATTATAGCTTTTGCAGGTTATAGTATCTTAAGTTATGACTCAATGTCTAAAATATAATTCAGTCTAACTTATGACTGTTAATGGATCACCATATTTGGGCTTTTACCTTTCACAGAGTTTTAAGTTTTTGTGGCTTTTTTCCAATAGGAATCCTACAAGGTTATACATGTGCAGTCATTCAAAGCATATTTCCATATTAGTCATGTTGTGAAAGAAAACACAGACCAAAAAGACCCGAGAAAGATAAAGACAGTAAAAAAGAAGTACGCTTCAATTTGCATTCAGACTCCATCGGTTCTTTCTCTGGAGATGGATAGCATTTTTCCTCATGAGTCCTTTGGAACGGTCTTGGATTATTGTATTGCTGAGAATAGCTAAGTCATTCATCATGTAGTAATGCTGTTACTGTGTACAATATTATTCTGGTTCTGCTTATTTCATTTTGCTTCAATTCGTGTAAATCTTTCCAGATTTTTTTGAGAGCATCCTGCTTATCATTTCTAATAGTTCAGTAATATTTCATCACAACCAAATACCACTTGTTCAGCCATTCCCCAATTGATGGGCATCCCCTCAATTTCCAATTCTTTGCCACCACTAAAAGAGATGCCATAAATATTTTTGTACATATACAACCTTTTCCTTTTTGTTTTTTACCTCTTTGGGATACAGACTTAATATTGCTGGGTCAAAGGGTTTTATAGCCCTTTGGGCATAGTTCTAAATTGCTTTACAGAATGGTTGAATCAGTTCACAACTCCTTCAGCAGTGGAGTTTTTCCTACATCCCCTCCAACATTTACAATTTTCCTTTTCTGTCCTATGGTACTTCAGAGTTTTAATTTACATTTCTCTTATCAATAGTGGTTTAGAGCATTTTTTCCCATATGACTATAGATACCTTCAATTACTTCATCTGAAAACTGCCTGTTCATATCCTTTGACCATTTGTCAATTGGGGAATGACTTGTGTTCTAATACATTTGACTCATTTCTCTATATGATTGAGAAATGGGGCCTTTATCAGAGAAACTTGCTGTAGAAATTTTCTCACAGTTATGATTGCTAACTGTATATTTCTCTCCATCTTCCCTCTTTCCCCTCCTCCATTATCTTTCTCTCTCCTTTCACTTTGTACATCCTCAAAAGTGTTTTGCTTCTGACTTCTACTGTCTGTCCCAGTCTGCTCTCCCTTCTATCAGCCTCTTGCTGCTTTTATCCCTTTCCCCTCCTACTTTCCTGTAGGCTAAGATAGATTTCCATACTTAACTGAATGTATATGTTCAATGAGAATAAGGTTCATGTGCTCCCCTCCCTCATCTTCCCCTCCACTGTTAAAGCTCTTTCTGGTCTCTTTTATGTGAGATAATTTACCCCATTCTACCTCTGCCCCCTTCTCCCAGTGCATTCATGTTTCTCACCCCTTGATTTTATTCTTTTAGATATCATCCCATCATATTAAACTCACACCCATGTCCTGTGTCTATGTATGCTCCTTCTAACCACCCTAATACTGGTAAAATTCTTAAGTTAAGAATCCTTGACCGCTGAAAAGCATAACAATAAACTTTGCCACCTTGGCTTAAAGAATGCTTGAGTCTGTGAATTCATTCCAGATGACCCATGTACTTCAGTCTTTGAGGGGTCACAACCTCTCAACCTCTCAGCCCGCAACACTTTGAGGCTTTGGATGTAGCACTTTTGATTTTGTTGTCTTCTGAGTTTGTGTTTTGATCTTCCCTGTCACCATAGTAACTTTCTATGTCATGTTCTTTTTTTTATTGTTTGCTCATTTTCACAGTCTATTTCTTAACTTTTAACTTTATGTTGAAGTTGGGCTCTGCTCTGGGGGTGGAGGGGGCATTGTCCTAAGCTTCAGGTTTTTTGTGCAGTTGTTTTCTGAGCTAGTTTTGGGGGAGGGGGGTTGTAAGTTTTCAGTTTTTCCAAGGTGGAAGTAAAAGTGTGTTTGATAATCTCCTGGCCTGAACTCTGGTCTGTAACTGACCACAAGCACTCAGTTCCACCCTGGAACTATAACCAGGGTCTGCACTGACCATCACCACCACTGCGTAGCTGTTTATTTGGGCCTACCATTATGTCATATCTCCTCTGTCTGATCTGAAATTTTCAATATCTAGGTGTGGAGACAGTGGTGTGCTGGCAAATGGTTAGCAACCAGCTCTTTGGAAAAAAAAAAGTGTGCAGGACATACTTTTAAGTTTAATCTGCATTATTAAGATTTTATCCATCCCTTTCTTAAGTCTAGACAATCAACAAAATAATAAATGAAGCCCTGATTTGTACCACTTGCTTATTTCTGAGAATGTGATAATGAGTTCTTCAGAGGCTGTGCAGCTGGCCCCAGCACGTTCTTGGGGGAAGGTGTCCCGTGGTGTGCCCTAGTTAAGATACCTGCAGCCAGTAATGATCTTGAAAGGCAACCTCAGGATTCAAGAGCCTGAGGGTTCAAATCTCTTTAACTGAAAAAACAAACAAAAAAACCCTGCCAACTCCTAGATAAGACACAATTCATAAGGAGGTAAAAGACAATACCAGGAAAATGAAAGCAGGTAAAAATCACCTACAAGAAATGAAAATCAATCAGCAAGGAGGTTCCCTGGTGTCTCAGGACCTCCCCTCTAAAGTCCTAAAACTCTTTTTATACCTCTTCAAAGGGCCAGGTCCCAAATCAGTCCCCCTTGGAGCAAAGTTTACTAAAACTGCCCCAGGTCTGCTTTATCACGTTTTGGTACCCAACAGAGCTTGGTGGGAATGTGAGAGTTAGCTTAAAGCTTCCCAGTTCTGGTGAAGTGTTCTGGTTCACAACATCAGATTTTTCTGACCCCAAATACCATGCCTTCTAGCTTTAAATCCTATGATGTAATGATAGAGGTGTTGAGAGGAAGCCATATCTGGCTAAGATGCCCCTTTAGAAGAAGGGCTCTAGGCAGTCTTGGACCCGAGACACAGGGGAGATGAAAGGGAGCTGGTAAAAGCCAGCTCTGTTGGGCATTATTCTTTGCCTGAGACTCGTCTTGTGGGGGAGATACCAATTAGTACAGAGACTGGGAAAAGGATTGGGTGACCTAATGTGAGGGATGGTTAAAAGGGCAATATAATATCTCAGAGGAAAGAGATGCCTAAACAATGTCTTCAGAAATCACTCAAACATTTGAACCCAGGGTTCCAGTTGGGCTCTGCTACTACCTTCTGTGTGAGCTTGGACAAGTTATGTAACCCCTCTGGGTTTCAATTTCCTGTATAAAATAAAGGGACAAGATTAGATAATTTCTCCCAGGTCTGACCTAGTGTATTACCTTGCCACTTGTTTCTTTCACACACAAGCCTTCAAACATGTACTCTCTCTTTATCTTTCTTGGTAGAGTTTGTTTTCATAGAGTAGGAACAGCTTCAAATAGTGATAACGTAAGAGGCTCAGTGGAGTGGGAG